CTGGCCTGGTTGCTATCTGGCAGTCTGTCAGCTGCTCAGCACTGAGCTGTTCTCCCAGTGAAACTTCCCTTTCACTTTCTGTGCTCAGCCTGGCAGCCTGAGGACCACGATCATAACTTACATCAAGCTCTCCTCTGCCATCCACACACAGCATTGTCTGAAGTTGCCACCCCTCACCACCAACCCAACCAGACCTGGCCTCTGGTGTTAAGAAGAAATAACGTATATACCATGCTTGAAACATAGGTGTCTAGTAAGTGTCTTTCAGTCAGAAACCAGAGAAGACAGAAGAGACCCTGCTGGGTCTTTCTTTCTTTCTTTCTTTCTTTCTTTCTTTCTTTCTTTCTTTCTTTCTTCCTTCCTTCCTTCCTTCCTTCCTTCCTTCCTTCCTTCCTTCCTTCCTTCCTTTCTTTCTTTCTTTCTTTCTTTCTTTCTTTCTTTCTTTTTATGGAGAGGTTTTTGCTATAGGGTGTGTGTACTCGCCAGACAGACAGAAAGAGACGGAGAGATGGAAAGCCAGAAATCACCCCCCCCCAGGGGGGATGGCCATGTCGCAATCCCTTCTCCTCCATTCTACTCTCGGGATCTTGGGCAATCATGCACACGCACCTGGCATGAGTTTTAAGCTACCAGGTCTGGGACTCGAACCACAGTAGATTACATGGGAGTCCAGCCACATAGCCATTACGCTAACTGCTGGTCCCCCTGCTGGGCTTTTCTAATGGCTGATTGTATCGCATCACTTTGGGACAGTAATAATGACCATAGTTGCCAATATTTATGTTCAGGTTATGGGCCTAGCTTGCTTTAAGACTTTCATATAGATTAGCTTGTTTAATCCTGACAATACTCTCAACCAAGTACTCTTATGATTCCATCTTAGAAATGGAGGCCAGAGGACCAGCAGATGCTATGATGGTTGAGGTGCTGGACTTCCGCATGGCCAACCACAGTTCAAGTCCCAGACCTGCAGTTTGCTTTCTCACTTTCCGTCTCTCTCTTTCTCTCTCAGGCCAAATTAAAATTAATTAACTAATTAACTAATTAGTTAATTTTTTTTAAAGTTTGTAAAAAATACAAGTAAGATATGGCTCCTGCGAACTATGTATTTCAGGGCACAGGAGAAATGAAGATTTTCTACTGATAATTTAGCCTCCAGCAAACGAGCTAGTGAAGAGGCCAGGCCTTCAGAAGAAGGTTCGACATGGCTCCTGCGAACTAGGTATTTCAGGGCACAAGAGAAATGAAGATTTTCTACTGATAATTCAGCCACCAGCAAATGAGCTAGCAGGTTAAAATATTCCTCAACGACTACTGAATCTGCTGCACCAGTGATCACAACAGAATGGCAAAGAGATTCTAGATCACCTCTGTCTGCTTGCTCCTGAACATTCAGACTGAACTTCAAGAATTTGAAAGAAACATACCATCCATCAGATGACAAGAACTCACCACCGGAAATAGGGAAAACAAGAAAATACCTCTCCTCCAAGGGAAAAGAGTAACTCCGACTACTGAATCTGCTGCACCAGTGATCACAACAGAATGGCAAAGAGATTCTAGATCACCTCTGTCTGCTTGCTCCTGAACATTCAGACTGAACTTCAAGAATTTGAAAGAAACATACCATCCATCAGATGACAAGAACTCACCACCGGAAATAGGGAAAACAAGAAAATACCTCTCCTCCAAGGGAAAAGAGTAACTCTTCTTCATCCACAAGCAGTTCGATGGAAATATCTGATAAGGAATTTAGAGGATTCATAATGTCGAAGCTAACAGAGATGGAAGAGAAGAGAGATAATGAACTGTTAAAGAGAAAGGAGAAAGAAGTTGATGAGTTCTAGGAGATGAGGAAATTCTTACAAGATCTAAAAGAGGAATTACACACTTTAAAAAGGAATCAAGTGGAACTGTTAGAGATGAAGTCTATTATACAGGCACTCAAAATCTCCCTTGAAAGTATTAAAAGCAGACTAGATCATTCAGAAAATAGAATCTCAGA